GTGAAACTAAGATTATCTGTCACCTTGCCGGGGACTTGGTATTTTCAGACAGTAGAAGCGATACATTTTTGGATTTACGGTTTAGCGACTTTGCAGTCAATTTAATTGTTTATAGGAAAGTTTGAATATACTGAGAGGTAAGCACATATCATCGGTAAGAGACGTGTGTGTGAGAAAATTTGCGAAAAAATCTAAGGGCACCGGTGGGATTCGAACCCACAATTCCCATTCAGTACACGGGTGCATTGCCAATTATACATCGGTGGACCTATGGTCTACGGATGTATTTGGCTAATGACATTTGAGTTTCGAATCCGTTCCCCCACCCTAGTCTTTTTGCGCAAGTGTTCTCTGATACACAACAATCGTCTATTATCGACGATATGTGCTTGTACCGCAACCACTCAGTATCAGTCGATGTGAACAAAGCGATACACTTTAAAAAATTAAGATTGTAGGATTTCAAGATTTTTAAAATAACCAAATTCTTTAGAAAGCAAACTTTAGTCATTTATCATGATTCTAAACATTGAACAAACTCCTTATAAACAATGAATTTGCTCAATGGAGGTTTACGTAAATTCGCACTGAGACCATAATACAGAAATTATACAGATTTTTGGTCAGTCAGATAGAGATTAAAAAGATTTTTGCGATGAAAATACAGATTTAAATCTGAAAACATTAGGCAACTGGACAGTGTACAAAGCACAGGGAATGCGCCAGCTGTTATGAGGTAAGGTAAATGCGCAACGCAATCGTTTCAGCGAGCGTGCTCTTGCTCTGGTAAAAAAGCCGAGTGTAGCCAAGTGTAAAACTTCGGGATTTCTCATTTGCCGAAGTGTATGCGATGTATTGCACTCTCGCACTCACGTACAATCGGTGCGCTTGAACGTCTGGTGTAGAGTAAGCCGACCTACGGTGCGCGCACCATTTTGTTGGATGCGGTGCACGTAGCAGATACACTTTTCTCTTTACTCACACCGAGGAGAGAACCAAGCCTGATCCCAAGTAACAATTTGGGTTTTATGAAGGTTCTGTAGACCATGATTGGGACTTGTTTTGCTTTAAAACCTTGATAAAACTTGCAATGCTACTTGGGATGTCAAATGGCAAAAGTGACAAAGGCTATCTGATGATCCTGGAACAGATTCTGGAAGCGACCAGTCTCTTGTTGCAACAGGAACAGTCGTACGACATATCACAATTTACAGAACTTTGTAGAATATGCTTTAGAGACCATACCAACTACGCAGATTGACAATGGCCACGCGATGACCCCGGAACTGGTTCCAGAAGCCCCCTGGGAAGTGGCAATTGCAACATAAACTAATAATGCAACATTTCAAAATGTTCAGAATGTCATGGACATGTCATTAGATGCCATGTCAACTAACAAGAGTGACAAAGGCTGCCCTATGGCCCTGGAACAGGTTCCGGAACCCCCAAGGGAGAGGTCAATCTCTGAATTTAACAAAAACTAGTCATGCAGCATATCTAAATTTTCATCATTTCATGGACATGTCATAAGATACCATGCCATCTGACTAGAATGACAAAACCAAAAGATGGCCGTGGAACAGATTTTGGAAGCCCCGGGGAAGAGGCCAATCTCTTATTGTAAAAGAAAACATATCAAAATTTTCATAATTTCATAGACAATTCATTAGAGACCATATTGACTACGCAGAATACAATGGCATCGCTATGACAGGTTCCAGAAGACCCGGGAAAGTTGCTAATTTCTGATTGCAACATATACTATACTTACCTTACCAATCAGGCTAGGGCCTTGTTGTCCTCTGCTGTCCGAAGAAGTCGTCTCCACTCTACTCGATCCATGGCCACACTTTGCCAGCCTCGTAGTCTGCGAAGGGTCCGCAGGTCGCCTTCTTAACCTATCGCAGCCCGGGAAGCCGAGCGATTTGCAGTTCAATGTTTCGAGTTTCCAATCGTAGTCCTTATTTCGACTCGCGTAGGTCTGTGCCGATTGTTCCGATCCGTATTTCTTTCGTCAGTATTTGCAACTTTACGTTTTTCCAGGGCGGCTTGTTGGGCCTGCCCCAACACCCTGTCTCGCCGGGGGACCATCGTGCACAGCTCTGTTTAGAGTCCCACGCTGGCACTAGGACGGTGATCAGCCGCTCCTAACATAGAGCACAGACGCCGTTTTAAGCGAGTGTACCCCATTAGGCATAAATACGTTGGGCATAAAGAACGTTAGGCATAATGGACGTTAGGCATATATACGTTAGGCATAATGGACGTTAGGCAAAAAAATACCTTGCTGCTGTGCAACTCTAGAAACCTGTTTCGAGCATGGTAAACAATGCTTAAATAAGGCTAAGCGTTGAATAAAAAATTATACAAGTTAAACAAACATAGTTTATTTAATAAGCACAGTTTGGAATCCATTATTTATCATATCATAAGTGGCGTAGCTACATATTTACTTAAATCCAAGATTAGTAGCGATAGCGGTTAAGTAATCTGGCAATGAAAACTCAGCATAGTTTTGAACTATATCTATCCAAATCAATCGCATCTATAAACAAAAAAAAATTCACATTTGTTGTAATATATTCTTACACACATATTGCAATTGTCAAAGAAGAAAATGTTTTCCTCAAAGAACAGCTCATGAAATGAAGAATGGTGAATTCTGTGGTTTTTCATTCAATAACAAAATGTGCCTGCTGCTTCCAGGATTTCCTGCCACCATACTATGGTTACCGCGCCAGTGTTCGCGTCGCACCTCTTCACTTTGCTATTGCCAGACTGGCAACATTGCCCACGCTACGCCACCCAGCTGTTTCCATGTTTCAGCTGGTAGTCTTTTGTTATCATATAACTCGGGGAGGCGTGAAGTAGGAACTTGTGAGGACCAGGGCTAGGTATTCCGCTCCTTCCAGGTTGTCAACTCACCATTTTGTAGCCCAACATATACTATGCATGCGTCAAATGAATATTCTGGGCATAAAACGAGGTAACTATTTTTTCTGCAAGTTGAATGGAAAATTACCCATTTCTCCAATCGATTTTATGGAGCACCCTACCATGGAAATGGTCACCCTAATGACAAAATAAGAAAATACGGATGCGATAAGCAACAAAACTACCAATTTTTACACAATTCTGAGAACCACTATATCATTTTGCTATGGAATGGCTGATAATATAAGGTAGACATATAAAACCCTCATGTACTCACAAAACCACATTACGAACGTGATTGGATAACCCAGGTAGTGGTAATTCCATAGATGCTCCTTTCTCAAATTGCTGTGCGACAAATAAAACCTCTGTGAGAATGACGATACCAGGAAAAAATGAACCTGGCGACTTTTGCAAATAAGTTTTCTGTGATCCAGGTTTTCCAGTGGGCAATTGGACTTCATTACCCGAGCAGGAAAAACTAACTTATTAATACCAAATTCAGGTATGAAAATAGCATAACTACACACTTAGAAAAATTGATGTAAATTTAGGTGCTCTGATACTGACATATACGAGCGTCAATTTTGACATAAAATTGAATCATAATATACGCGAAGTTCAGCTCAATCAAACGTACTTTCAAACTTTTCAGTCTCGGAGCATTCAATTTTACATGACATGTTTGTTTACATCTCATCGTTTATGTCAAAGATGTATTCCTTCACGTGTAAGATTAGGTATTTCTAAGTGTGTGGCAACCAAAATATGGTATTAGTGAGGCTGACATAAAATAATACATCAAAAATATTCTACGTATAACGAACTATGCCAGGCTCGTCAATACCATATTCATATGCTATTATCATACCTGAATTTGGTATTCATTAGTTATTTTCTCCTGCTCGGGTAGTGTTTTCGATACCTTATTTTGGTATACTTGTGGTGTAAAACCCGCAACACCTAAAAAGTGATTGTATTGGTATTAGAAGACCTTTAGTATAACACACTATATTATTTTAAGGCATCAAAAAATAGCGTTCCCCGACCAGGAGAAAATAACTAATGAATACCTAATTCTGACCTGATACCAAAATTTGGTATTGATCAGTATGACATAAGAGGTAAAATGCCAAAGAATAATACCCAAAAAAATACAAACAAAATACTTTGTAAATAACATAAATTGATATTTGGATACGAAAAAATACCTGTATGGTATTGTTTTGGTATTGCATTATCATAATTTAGTATTGGAATGGTATTGTGGGAACATTTTTATGGTATTATTGTTTGGTATTTACCCTCAGGCTCATCCATACCAAATTAAAATATCGAGGTTTTCATTCCTGCTCTTGATATAAGAGGTAAAATCACGAGCAGCTGATCAATACCAAATTTTGTTATCAGATCAGAAATAGGTATCCATTAGTTATTTTCTCCTGCTCGGGAAAGGTACACAAAAAACTCTAAATTATTTGGGTAATAAGCTGAATTGAATTCCTCTTTAGTTATGTGAATTATATTTTATTTATTTTGAAGAGGTCTGAAATCAATTTAAGAAGAGTTTATTTTAGTTCATCGGGAAAAATATTGATCCGGTATATATTTCTTAAATTCTCTCGAGGTGGGCCAGCTCTAGGTCTGGAGGGCAGCCCACTGTTATTTACGCCAATGGTCTTTTCAGTTTATTTTTTATTTTTTTTATTATTGAGTTTCAAAGTCAGTTTTTCGAAAAGAGGTGAAACAATTTTGTGCAATTTGCAACTGAACGTTGAAGCGTTGAAATGTATGTCCATAATAGCAGATGTATTAAAAAGTGTGTAATTTTGCTAAAAAAAATGCCAAATCTATCCTTTGAATACTAAATTTATAAAATATTATTAAAATTCAACCTAATGATATAGGTTTTCCATTTTCTGAACCAACGAAGTTTCCCTCGGTGACTCCACAAAATCTGTAAAACCCCTGTCCTAGAAATATTGCTGCACATCGATACATGAATTCAAAACCTTTTCTCACCTAATCTTCATCTCGTTTTTTCTCTCTTCCGGTTCTATTTTCAGTTTTCCCAAATGTCCCGTCGGCTCCGGGAATGTCCTGCATCGGGGAGGACCGTAAGTATATCGATTGGTGTTTTGCTCCTTCCTTCAGCCAGCCAACGAAACGAACGAATGGGGAACGATTATGTAACCGTTGTCAAACCGGTGGCCTCGGATAGGATGATGATGGTCGTTTTCATCATCTCTATCTCTCTCTCTCTTTCTCTCGCGTCGGACGTTAGTGACCCCACCACGAACGGAGACGGGCTAGTAGCATTTGATATCCATAGGAATAAGAAGGGGGAGAGCTGGTTATATTTTTGGAACACGGTTCTTGGCAGTGGATTTATGATTATCCTGACAAATCCTATTCATAGATTAACAACCTGTAAGCCGTAAGAGAAAACCGGTGTCATTTTCATGATGAAATTGTGAAATCCTTAGCTTAGGAGATTTACTTTATCGTTTCAAAGTTTATAAGTTAGACTGGCTCTCTCAATTATTTCATAAATTATATCAGGAAATACAGCTTTTTCTCAGCAACGGTAGAACTCTGTTATATTTCTTCTCTACAGCCTTAAGATATAACAATTTCTGTTTTTTGTTTATAAATATCTTAGGAACCAAACATCAATTAGTGTGACAAATTTGCAGTATCCTTTAAAAATCCTAATCGTTTATAAATCTTGTTTTCTGAATTATACAGCAGTTGAAATTTGTTGAAATTTTATTATTTTATTAGATGCAATTTTAAATATTTACCCAGTTCCAGGAAAACGAATAACTCTATGAGCTCAACTTTTTCGGCAAAAAACAAAAACCGCTCACATATTCCTTGCAAATATGAGGTTTTTTCCCCCATATTGTAGGTATGGGTATTTGAATGTTTATCATCAATTTGCTAAAAGCTCCCCAACCGCTTTTCAAGCTCCTTTTTTTTGTGGATGCTATTCCAGCTACATCACAACGTGGCAACCGGATTGGAGCACAGCAAAACAGACCTATAAATTAAATATCCTAGTTTTGAAACTCTGACTTTCTGTCTCTCGTCTCGTCGCTTTCGCATTGCAGAATGCGGGCGGTAGTTCAAGTAGCAGATAAGGGTTCAACCGCAGCCAGGCAGCTCCTTCTTCGGAGCTGACCCCAGACACAGTATATGTGGGGGTAAACAGATTTTTGGCTCCCGGAACAGAATGTGGACTGTGCATTTGGAAATCGTATTTTGATGAAAACAGGAAAAAAAATGCAGGGAAAAAGACTTGGAAGTGCGTGACCGCATTGGTGTGATTGGTGGTGGCCAGGCCATTACGGGTGACCTAGTTTCGATTGGAGGCCCCACCCTACTGCAACAGCAGCAGCAGTGTAGTTCTTGCCAGTAGTATGGTCATGGGGGATATCACAAATTGGCCAAGTGTGGATCTCCACACAAACAAGGACGACCTCCGGGGATGTGGGTGGGTGTGTTTATGGTTGTTTGCGAACTTTGTGGCTTTGCAGCAGTCTACGGTGCTTAGCAGTGGCAGCAGTTGTTTTTGATTGATAGTTTTAATTTGCTGTGCCTGTGGCTTTCATGAGGTCAGTATGTGGTTAGTTAAAAAAGATTTGTTTTTATTCAGGGAACCATGCGTTGGATACCTTGAAAAATGGTGTTCTCACTCTCAGCATAATGTGAATGCCTAAACACGCCTATTATTTTTTATGGCTCGAAAAACTGCTCATGTTAAAAAAAAACTTTTAGTCAGGAGCGTTTACCCTACATTAAATCTTGAGAATTTCTATCATGGATTCAAGTATTTATTCAATTAAATCTTTGTTTGGATAATTCCGAAATTCTAGTCAGGATTCTCAGTCCTATTCAGTGAGAATTCTTCGAATATCCAAGTCAAGATACTTCGCTAATTCTAATCTGGATTGTTAACGAATACTATTAATGACAATTCCAGAAATCTAGTCAGGATTCATCCCGTATCATTATCATGATAATGAAAAAAAAATCTAATCAGTGTTCGTCCCGATACCAATGCAGGGTTTTTCAAAATTTTAGTCATAATTCTTTCAAATTTACAGTTTCAAGATTATTCCAGAGTCCTTGGTAAAAATTCTCTTTTAGTCAGGATCTTTCCCGGCAAATGATGGGTCTTTCTGAATACTAGTCTATGTAGATTAATCTATTCAGGATTATTCCAGATTTCTATTCAAGATGCTTTCCGAATCCTTTTCACAGGGCTGGTAGCGAGTCACTTTTCAGTGACTTGGTCACTTTTTTCAAGGAAGTCACTAAAAAGTCTCTTTTTTTAATACCAAGTCACTAAAGTCATTTTTTCTTGTAATAAGTCACTATTTCCAACTTTTTTAAACGTAAATTTATTTCAAGATTGATCATTCTTCTCGATAGGCCTATATAGTATATAGGCCTATATATTCGAAGTTGACGACCTGGTATAGAGTTTTTTTTTTTTACAGACAATTGAATTGGTTTAAAAATCTATAAGCGTGCGTTTAGACAAATTCAGAATAGTTCCATGAGGTGCTGAAATAAAATCGAGAACCCTTAAGATGTTCTGAGCGATTCAGTATAGATACCTTCAGAAAATGTATGCAAACTTCAGAAATATTTCAGGAACATCACAGAAATCCAGAGAATTCCAGGGAAGTTTAAAGGTGTTTACGATAATTCCATTTATTTTAAAGCAGAGCTGAGATCCGAGTTGAAAGTTTTAGAGAAACTCCGAGAACATGAAGATAGGTCATAGAATTAAAGGGCAGTTCAAAAAATTTCAAGAAAATTGCAGAAACCGGAATTTCTGGAAACTTTGGTTTGTTCAGAGAAAATTTCTGGAACGCAATAAAAATTATTTGAACATCCGGAAAATGTGACAGTATTTCAAGGGTGTTATATCATGGAAATTTCAAACTCTGAGATTTAACTAAGTTGATTAGAGCACATCAACGAAGTATCATTAATAAGAAAAAAGAAAGGCGAGAACTTTTAGCAAGCACCGATATTTTCAAGAAATTCCAGAGAACATCTTATAAATTTAGATATTTTTGATTGTTTCTTATATTCAGTGAAATTTGGACTATTTAGAAGTCGATTAGATAACATAAAAAAAATCCCATTAACTTAAGGAAATTTTCAGCGACTTACAAGGAGTTCCTTGGAATTATGGGATATTCCGAGAATTCTATGATCGATCCGAAAACTTTAGAAGCTTCAGGGAATTACAAATATATATCAGAAAATTAGCCGGAACATTTGATCAATTTAGAGAAAACTTCTTGCAGGGAAAATTAGTGATTTAAGGCAAAGTTCCGTGAACGTTTATAAACTTTATCGAACTTAAGGAAAATTGTAGAACTTAAAGGCAATTAAATCCATTCCAGAAAAATTGTGGGTTCTTTAAAAAAAATACTAACGAGGGCAGTCTAGAGAATTTTAAGAAGATTGAGAAATATTTTGGGCAGTTTTAAAAACATCAGCAAACTCTCGACTATTGAAGAAATTATGAATTAGTTTCGATAATTTGAACTTCAAACAAATCTTGAGAACTTCAGTGAAAATCATAGAACTGTATTAATTATTTCGCTGCGCCTAAAGAAGTTCCTGAAATTGCAGAATAACTTCGAAAATTTCACAGAAGTACAGAGATCTTCAGAAACATTTCGGGAACTTCATAAAAGTGTATGGAACTTAAGGGAAGATCCGAGAACTTCAGGAACTTTTTTGCACATTTCGGGAGCATCTCTATAAGTTTGGTAAAGCTCCAAAAACAAAGAGAATTTCAGGGGAGTCCAGTTCAATTAGTTTCACTAAATTCACCAAGTGAGCTATTGAAATACGGTGGTGAAGCACTGGCTAGAGCGCTGCACTGGGTAATTGCCAAGATTTGGGAGGAGGAGATATTACCGGAGGAGTGGATGGAAGGTGTCGTATGCCCAATCTACAAAAAGGGCGACAAGTTGGATTGCTGCAACTACCGCGCGATCACACTGCTGAGCGCCGCCTACAAGGTACTCTCCCAAATTCTATGCCGCCGTCTGTCACCATATGCAAGAGAGTTCGTGGGGCAATACCAGGCGGGATTCATGGGTGCCCGCGCTACCACGGACCAAATTTTCGCGATTCGGCAGGTTCTGCAGAAATGCCGCGAATACAACGTGCCCACACATCATTTGTTCATCGATTTCAAATCCGCATACGACACAATCGATCGAGATCAGCTATGGCAGATTATGCACGAGTATGGATTTCCGGATAAACTGACGCGATTGGTCAAGGCGACGATGGATCGAGTGATGTGCGTTGTTCGAGTATCGGGGACACTCTCGAGTCCCTTTGAATCTCGAAGGGGGTTACGGCAGGGTGATGGACTTTCGTGTCTGCTGTTCAACATCGCGTTAGAAGGTGTGATCAGAAGAGCTGGGATAGACACGAGTGGCACGATATTCAGGAAGTCCATCCAGCTCCTTGGTTTCGCCGATGACATTGACATTATGGCACGGAACTTTGAGATGATGGCGGAAACGTACATCAGACTGAAGGCTGAAGCTAGACGGATTGGACTTGCCATCAACGCATCAAAGACAAAATACATGAAAGCAAGAGGTTCTAGGGAAGACAATGTTAGCCTCCCACCCCGAGTTCAGATTAACGGTGACGAAATCGAGGTGGTCGATGAGTTCGTGTATTTGGGCTCACTGGTGACCGCCGAAAATGATACCAGCAGAGAAATTCAAAGACGCATTATGGCAGGGAATCGTGCCTACTTTGGACTCCGGAGGACGCTCCGGTCGAATAAAATTCGCCGCCGCACGAAGTTGACTGCCTACAAGACGCTGCTTAGACCGGTGGTCCTTTACGGCCACGAGACCTGGACTATGCTCGTGGAGGACCAACGCGCCCTTGGTGTTTTCGAACGGAAGGTGTTGCGTACCATCTACGGTGGAGTGCAGATGGATGACGGAACATGGAGGAGGCGAATGAACCACGAATTGGGAGAACCATCCATCGTCCACTTTGCAAAAATTGGGTGACTACGGTGAGAATACCGCACGACGACCCAGTGAAAATGGTT